CAGTTTGAAATCTGTTGGTCGACTTTCAATTGGATAACACCTTACGTAACAGTTTCTGTTTCCGATAATCTCCATTCAATCCTTCGCATCGTCATCAAAGGATGAACATACGCTCAATTACACAAGTTTGACGTTAATCACACTAGAATAAGAACAACCACCACACTCTACCACCGTTGATACTAACTCAGATATATTTATGACTATTTTCAAAGGAATAAAATTGAAAAAACGTAAGAACCGTACAATTGACTTCGCAATTAAATCTCAAGTCCCTCGTTGCAGCATCACTCCTGGCACGAAGGAGTTTATTCTTAATATTCCACTGAATCACATTGGCTGAAAAAGGGTGCAACCCAGTCGGCAAATTACATTCACTACTGCAAAAACAGTCAATACACACATATTTAACATGCACCTCTCATCTTTACTTGCCATTCCTAATAGAAATGAAGTAAGAAGATACGATTTAGCCAAAGCCGTTTATCGTCACCCTTGCAATGTACAATGAAGTCGTTCGATGGGTATGAAAGATGCATTTGTACTGATGGAAAATTCCTGCCAACTTTCGTTTCGCAGATGACATGATTTTATTTTCGACGAACAAAGAAACAGAAAAAGCAGAGATGATGTGGGGCGAATCGGGTTGGGGAGAAGATAGGACTGCGAATAAATAAGACGAAGATTTAGTTCATAAGGAAACCACGGAAGTAAAATTAAAAACGATTGTTCTTACATATAACTTGAGCAATCCATGAACATAAAAGAAAATATTAGCGAAATCATGTAGAAGACTGTCACATGGCTTGTATTAAGACTTAGATTACTGAGGTACGCACTACGTGGGAAGATCGGCCATCCATGCGACCAAGTAATTTGTATTATAATGTTATTTTATTAGAGAAACGTTACTACTCCAATCTTAAATACTCAGCAAATGCTTTTCTTGGTTGAGTTTATAGTCTGGTAGTAAAGTGGCACGCCAAGCCAAATCTTCCGATAAACAGCCAGAAACTGTTACCGAAGCGCGTATATTAAGCGTCTATATCCATTTTATCAAATTAATTTTTAAGGATATAGAGCGTTGAAGATATCTATCCTCGATGATCTACATAATCTATATTATTTGAAGATTCTTCAAGTTTACAACATCTGTCGCGGGTCACAACGAGTGCTTAAGAATAACTGCAACCTCCCGAAATCCGCTTTCAGCTTCTCCATAGGATTTTCTCGCATTACCATTAGACTTAAATGCATTTCGCAGAAACACAAGAAAGAACAAAAAAAACGATAACTATTAAAAACAGATATTAAACTTTGATCAAATTTCTATTACTCAAGAAGATTAAATATTGGATTTCAATGAAGGGACTAATCATTAGTTGGGAAAAATGAGTTCTTATAAACGTATGGTAGTATTTCTTGATAGTATGCTATCGAGTGCAAAGAAAAACGAGATGCCACAACAGAGTACTACAATAATTACAATCCTTTCAGATCAAATACCTGTATTGTTCAAATCGTGAAAATGATATACTTTCCACCAACTGAAAAGTTGGTTCTAAACTTCCGTAATCACTATAATATGTGAATGAGCATAGATGCTCAAATTCTAACACAACTGTAAAGAAAAAATTAAGAAAACAACTGCTTCACTGGGCAATTCAATTTTCAATACATCAGTTATAAATATTAAACACGGTT